TTCCCGGTCCTCCGAGTGTTAAGATGTTGAACTATCTAATATACATTCAATTAAATTGAATTAATATTTCAGAAATAAATTGAGAGCCGATGAAATTATCGGATTCACACAATCAATCTGAAATGACTAATCCCCCCAAATTCTCCCAAATCTTAAAAAAGTTTATTACAAATAACTATTAAATACTATTAAAAAGTATTAAAAAGTTAATACTATTAAATACTATTAAAAAATTTATTACAGTTTTTTAAGATTTGGGAGAATTTGGGGGGATTAGTCATTTCAGATTGATTGTGTGAATCCGATAATTTCATCGGCTCTCAATTTATTTCTGAAATATTAATTCAATTTAATTGAATGTATATTAGATAGTAGTTCAACATCTTAACACTCGGACCGGGAAGGCGCTTTGTATTGTATTTAAAGTTTTTATATATTATAAATAATTTAAGGTTGGATTGTTCCAATTTTCAGTAAACTTCAGCTCACTGTCTTACTCTCTTACTCTTTTATGATCATATTCTTTTACTCTTTTGTTTATCCAATAGATAAATTATATGCTCCTATGTTCGAGTAATAATCGTTGTTGTAGTATGAATGTTGTTATTGAACACTTGTACAGTAATAAAAAGGATAACCAAAATGAACATTGTATGCAGTGCTTCTGCTTGGTTCCAACTATTTAAAGATAAGTTCTGGGTACAATTTTCTTCTTCTTGATTAATGGTTCCTGCTTCCCATATATATTGAACGGAGATAATACGGCCAGATCACCTTATGATCGTCCTTATGAGAGATACAAAAACTAAAAGTGATGCAATGCCCGCGAAAATGGCGAAACCCGCCCGGACACCGGGCGCCTGCGTCGTCACGCCGCGTGGACGCGCGTCAGGATGAATGAATGGGTCGTCCCAAAATCACGGGACGGTTATGAGTGTTTCAATGCTCAATCAAAATCGGTACCACTTTCAAAAATATAACTTGTAGCACTCGAGCCGAGATGCGTCCGCCGCGGGCGAATGGCGAATCTTTGAAACTGTGGGTACAATGATCATAGATCTGTTTTTTTGGCTGAACCAGTGTACACTTCTGGAACTTAAAGTGAAATAGGTATATATTTGATATTTGTTGAAAGCGAGAAAGAGAGTGCTAATGCAGTCTAGTGTAGGAACAGAAAACAGACTACATATACAATGAATTTGGTATCTTATAATAGAGGCTTTTTCTCTATTTTCTTTTTTGAAGATTTTTTTACAATCCTTACAATTGATAGTGCGAAAATATTTCATATTAAAACTTTACATATATTACATTTTTAAGATATAGAGGAAAGCCCCCTATTATGAGACGCCTAATATGAGATAGCGGCATTTTCGCTAAACTAATAAACGCTACCTATTAGTTCCACCATGAATTTATTGTTCTTAGATTGTAACCTATTTAGTGGAAAATTTATTATTAAATCGTACTTGTAGTCGTTGCAAAAAAAGATTTTAGAATTTAGATGTCTTCAAGTTTCATTGAGATAAGCTTTCAAACCTTGTTTATTATTTAATAAGTAAATATTTAGCAATAAATTTTTCATGTAATGCTAAAGTAAGATCGTATTAATAGAAAAATACGTCATATGTTAAATTGCTTAATTACAGAAGTTAGATTTGATGATCGTAAAACCCTAAGGCATGAAAATCGTAATATGAAATACTCAGTATTTTTAATATGAAATAATCTATGCTCCTATGTCCTAATGAAAATCATTGCTGAAGTATAAATGTTATTATACAAATAATAAAAAAGACAATCGAAATAAGTATCAAGTGTCTGTTTCTGCGATGTCTGGTTTCAACTACCTGAGGAGTCAGCTAGATACAATGCATCGCATACTTATTTTGCACGTGCACTGGCTGTATTTATTTGTATTTTAGAAACATTAAATAAAGTTTCTTAATTGCAATACTGATGTACTTTGCGTTTTATTATCGATTTCTCGAGACACCTCATATTAGGAGCACAATTTTTTGACGTTGCGATTTACTTACTTTTTGCATTTCTTTAATTTATAAAAAAAATAAAATTTGAATTAAATTTTACATAAAATTATCTTAAAGCTTATTAAATTCCTTTTAAAATGCTTTTTTTTTATTCTGCCCATAGATTTCTAGCATTTATCCAAAATAAACTCGGTATCTCATAATAAAGGCCTTTCCTGTAACCCTATAGACGCATAATATTATTTGACATTTTAAGCATATTCTTAGAATACTAAATATACATTTAAACCTATTCTACAATGTGTTCTTTGTTTCTTGTTTTTTTTACCTGTTACTTTTTTCTCCTTTGCAACTTTTATCGACAATTGTATTTCTTGCTGCGTATTTCTTGTTTCTTTCGAAGTTCGTTAACTTTTATTTTGGGCGATGTTACATCCAGACTCCACAGTTCTTTTTTTCGATTAGAATTTTCGTCATTATCATAAAAATTATTAATAAGTAACACTGGTAGACCATCTGTTTCTACCATAGGAGATACAATAGTGACAAGCCGAATAACATTTGCCTTTTTAAACTAATAATCTACTCGGGACGAAGTTGTTGGATTAAATATTTGAACCAAGTACCGAATAGGCGAACTTTATCCTGAAGAACAGGAGAAGTAAATAGATTAAGAATTATAAAACTTCAGGTAGCTGAAACAACAGTTGTCTGTAATAAATGACACATGTGACTCTAAACTATTGGACATCCGACAAATGGTCGATGACGGAAGTTGTCTTAGACACATATCCCAGTATCCCATTTCACAACCGATATCCTTAATCCTAATCCTAGATTAGATCAGTAATACATGCGAGCTCTGCACCATTAACTTGCCAATATAAAAAGGAGACTCTTCACGAACAACAATCAGTCAAAACTCAACTACAAAACGTTACTCCGCTGTCAATCAAACTTCATCTCCGAAACCGTCCGTGACCTTATCGCTCCACCGATCATAGTGCTGAGCCACGATCCGTTAGATCTATTTGTTATTACTATTAAGTAATAAGTGTGACTTGACCGGAGCATCCACATCGCTCGATCAATCCTCTTCTTGGAGTCTTTGGATAATCAAGGAGATCGGACCTTTGAGTCATCTTCAAAAATCTAAACTTGCAAAATAATAAGTAAATCTCTTTTCAATTACCTATTTCTGAAACCAGATCACTCTCTAGGAAAACTCTTAAACAACTTCCCTTTCAGTCTCTGCACTCTTAATTTTTCGCTCCCACAACTCTATCCTCCTTATCCTTCTACATTCATCGATTTCTTCTGGATGGAACCTTATCCCTTATTTAGAAGTCTGCCTAATTCGCGAACTTTACGCTCTCCCTTCCTTCTTTCTACGCAGAACCTGACAATTAAACAGTTTTTTTTATTTTAAAATCGTAGTGAGTGATCGGCCACGTACACGCCTTTCCCGCGCGGCTAAACGCCTACGCACCCAACGGCGCAAAGAGGCCCGTCGAGTTCTAGACGAGGCCTATCAGACATACATCAATGAAATAAACAATGATAGTAATAGCAATAAGACTAATGCTAATGTTATAGCTAACGATAATACTAATAATAATAGTGATAACGAAAATAGTATTCATCCCATAGGAACACCTCCCCCTCGATCTCCTTCCACGGCCGAATCCATCTCACCGTCACAATTAACCTAACATATATTTCCTGACACTCCCCCTTCTTCTCGACCCGTTTCTCTCGTTGACTCAATATCAAGCGTGGAGTTCTTAATCTCTCCTCCCCGTCCTCGTTACTACTTCCACCATGGTAATCCCCATTCATTGTGTTCCTTTTTCTCTCAGTTCCAAATTTCCACCGAACCCCTTCTCCCAAATATCTTTACTATAGATTTCCCAACCGCAGATCCCGAGCGCATCAGGAATGCTATAACCAGACAATCACCAGAAGCCCTTTATACCTGCTTTCCTTCCCCACTCCCCCCATCCTTTCTTAATCCTTTTTTTTAAACTTCTTTCCTCCCTCCTCTTGTACAATTAACGAAATCAGATGAATACTATTTAGTACACATACGCGCGCACGCACACACACACGCGCGCACGCGCGCGCGTACATATGAACACGGCAGACTCACGTTCGCCCATGATTTAATTTTGACAAAAATATGTACACTAGTCTTTTATGTAATTAATTAGCAATTCTGCGATTAATGATTTACGTTACCAACTGCGTTTCGCAATGTATAACAGCTCATAGTAATTAGTTATAAAAATAAATACTACAATAAGATGAATTAAAAATACAAGATTATTCAAGAGAGAATACTAGCTTACACTTATAATATGTTAAAATAATAGTTATAATGCAGATACAACTAATAATGTATAATACAACTCTTGTTAAAAGGCTAGATTTCTCTTATACGAGGTTTGATCAAAAAATAACGGCAATTTTCATTTTTCTCAAAGAATCTTTATTTATTCATCAATATCAATTTTATTCCCTTCAGATATAATACACTTGTGCCAGCGCTTTTTCCAATCTTCGAAGCACTTCCGGAACTCACTTTTCGATATGGCGTTTAGCTCCTTCAGCGATTCTGTTTTTATTTCATCAATGTTGGCAAAACGTTGTCCTTTTAGGGTTCTCTTCAGCTTCGGGAATAGAAAGAAGTCACAGGGAGCCATGTCCGGTGAATACGGTGGCTGAAGCAAAATAACGGTTTTGTTTTTTCAAAAAATCACGAATAAGCAGTGAGGTATGAGCGGAAGCATTATCGTGATGCAATTTCCACGAGTGGTTTTGTCACAATTTTGGGCGTTTTCGTCAGACTGCTTCACGCAAACGGCGCATAACTTCCAGGTAGCATTCCTTATTGACCGTACGACCGTATGGCAGAAACTCATGATGCACTACGCCATTAAAATCGAAAAAAACAGTGAGAAGAACCTTCACATTTGATCGAACTTTTCGAATTTTTTTCGGTCTTGGCTCTTCAGGCAGCTTCCATTGGGACGATTGGGCCTTGGTTTCGACGTCATACCCATATACCCATGTTTCGTGTCACCTGTTATGACCGTTTTGAGAAGGTCTGGATCGTTGTTGATTTCATTCAATTCCTGAGCGATGTCTACGCGACGTTGTTTTTGATCGAAATTCAGCAATTTCGGAACAAACTTTGCTGCCACACGTTTCATGCTCAAAACATCCGAAAAAATTTCTTGGCATGAGCCGAATGATATGCCGACATCATCAGCAACCTCTCTGATAGTGATTCGGCGATTTTCCAGAATCATTTTCTTTACTTGTTCGACGTTATCGTCGGTTATTGATGTGCTAGGGCGTCCAGAGCGATCGTCATCTTCAACGTCTTCACGGCCCTCTTTGAAACGTTTGTACCACTCGTAAACTCTTGTTTTACTCATAGTAGACTCACCAAAAGCCACAGTCAACATTTCGAATACGGTGCTGCACTTTATTCCATTTTTCAAGCAAAATTTAATACAGATTCTTTGATCCATTTTTTCCGAAAGTAAAAAATCGCCGAGCACACCAAAACACGTATAACCTTTTCGACTGTCAACAATAAACTAAACATTCAAAATGGATGCAAATGTCAACATATACGTCAGAAACATGTGTACGAACAAGATGAAAAAAAAAGTTGAAAATCGGATTTATACAGCCCGCGAAATTTAAAAAAATTCCCGTTATTTTTTTATCAAACCTCGTAATATGTTAGTCGCACAGATACTTTTATTTTTAAAATATTGTACATTATATAATACTAAGAAATCTTTGGGTTAATAATAAACTATACTTTTAATATTATTACGTCCGGCGGACTCGCACGACTCCTTTCTTTCGTAGAGATCTGGAATTCGTCGAACACTAAAATTTTATCTCCTTTCCTTTTTTTTCTCTCTCTTAAAAACTAAAACAAGGAATCCGGTATCTCCTCGTGAATGTCGCTCCGAGATAAAAATCAATAATAAATACGTACGGAAAGCGTAAGACCGGCGCCAAGATTAATGGTCAAGCGGACGATTCTCGCGAATCCGTAATTACAAAATTTAAGAAACGGCACGCGTTCAGGGGTAGATTCTAGGTGGTCTCGTGGCGACGATGCATGCTTGCCTTCTCGACACTTGAGATGTGCGTTTTCCCATAAATCATAAAATTTTGGAGGACACTTTCCCATGCAACAGATTCCTGTCAACATCCTTTCCTCCCCTAAAATTTTGATCAATCCAAGAGCAAAGGAAAATCCTACTACCAGCCAACGAAACCTATTCCACCAATTCAAATTTAAGTAATCTGGGGCTATTAGTATAAAAATCGCGGTTCCGCAGCCTTTGTCGCAGATTTTTCTGTAAGTTCTCAAATTATACTTGTCTCGCGATTTTCCGAAAAAAGGTTCCCGATAGAGTCAGTGAGTTGATCGCGATACCTCAAAAGGTTTCATCCGATTTTCGGAGTCCTCTTTCTCCAGTAGAGTCAGTGTTAAAGAAACATCACCAGCCTTGCACATCCTGACTGGAGGACCTCCAACGATAAGCATCTCAGTAGTAAGTCAGTATATCTCTATTCTCTGGCTCCCTCCTCGCTTTATCTTTTGGTAATTTATTTTAATATTTCATTTTATTTTTTTTTTATTATTCATTTGCTTTATTTTATTTTTATTCTTTTTTTCTCCCTTTTGACCTCCTATAAGAAAATGAAAACATTGCAGTCCGTTCACGTTATAATTTCAATCTGTCGCCGTCGCCGCACGATAATTGTTCGCCTCCTGTCGACCGGTCGTTCATGTCCGCTAACACTATCATCATCCGACGAAAATTAGAGCAAATCCTCTCAAATCCATTCACCAAAATCTCCTTCTCTTTTTATTCTCTCGTTATGCTCTCCGTAACTCCCTTCCATTCTGCCACGATACTCTACACATACACACACTCTCACACATCCATAAATGCGTACATAACTCAGAATAGAGAATCAAAAATTGTATTATTTTTTTTTATTTACTTGACAAAATTATATTTATTTTTTATTCAAAAAATGTATCACTCGAATTTGTTTTTTTTAATTATATCATTATTAAATTAACTTCTCAGCAGTCTTTATTTAAATATAACCTCTCCTCGTATTATTAAGCTCTCCCGCGATTGCACTTCGCCCTCTCTCCGGTCACTTGGATCAAGTTCCATAACCGAAAGTCAGAGCATACGGCCGTACTGGCGCAGCTGTTAAAGTGCGCCCCTTTCGGCACATTGACCCAGTTTGGATCCCTTTTTTGAAGTACGTCCAACTTGTGTGTCCGTTTAGCGGAGCACGAACTGAGGTTTCCACTTCGTCCTCCGTTCGACCCCCGGCTCGTTAGGAGTCTCAGGACGAAGCGAAGCGCCTCCCGATTTGCGCCGGTCCTTCCGCACAGCTCCCTTGCGATCCGGAGCCCGGACACGACCAAATCGGTCTAACAATTCGGTTCCTTGTTCCGTTCACCCCCTCAGCTCCGCATGCGCGCGGAGCTTGGACGTAACAATATGACTTCAATCTCCATTTATTTTAGAATCGTAAGACCTCGTACCGACTTTCATCCCTCGTCAGAGATCGCATATGGTCCGGTCCCGAGTTATAAGGATTAAGTTCCTTGACTCAAAATTCGGATCGACATTCGCATTGCTCGTTGGAAACAAGTGTTATAGCGTCCCTTGAGGACGTTAACCCATATTCTAGAGCTATAAAAGGTCTTGTTCCATCCCCTTTCCGCAGATGCATGCGAGACAAAGCGTCTGCTCTAACGTCCTTCATATGCTCCATCCTTCTTATTCCTTCTTTCTCTAAACCTATCCATACATATGATCGGAGTTTCGACGTAACAGCGACATAAAACAAAAAACCAAATAAGAAGCAAAAAGATAAGATGTAAATAGCAAAAAGCAAGAAAGAGGAAATGTTACGTCCGGCGGACTCACGCGACTCTTTTCTTTCATAAAGATCTCGAATTCCTCGAAGCTCTAAAATTTTATATTCTTTCCTTTTTTTATTTTTCATCTTAAAAACTAAGAATCCGTTATCTCCTCATGAATGTCGCTCCGAGATAAAAATCAATATGTATGAAAAGCGTAAGACTGATTAACGCCAAGATTAACGATCAAGTCGCGAACGATTTTCGCGAATTCGTAATTATAAAATTTAAGAAACGGCACGCGACGTTCAGGGGTAGATTCTGGGTGGTCCCGTGGCGACGATGCATCCGCGACCTTTCGGCGCCCGAGACGTATGTTTCCCCATAAATCTTAGGGTCATAAAATTTTGAAGTTTCACTTTCCCACTCTATCGATTCCTGTCAACATCTTTCCTCCCCCAAAATCTTGACCAATCTAAGAGCGAAAGAAAATCCTACTCCCAGCTAACGAAACCTATTCCACCAATCCAAATTTGAGTAATCTGCGGCGATTAGTATAAAAATCGCGATTCCGCAACCCCCGAGTCAGTCTTTTTAGAGAACATATAGCGTGGCAGTTAGATCGCGGAACATCTAGACAGTCAGTCAGTTTACAGTCAGTTTTGATAGAGAGTTAGATAGAAGAACGTACGGATAGAATTTGATATAGACAGTCAGTTTGATATAGACAGTCAGTTTGATATAGACAATCAAATTCGTAAAATCTGTGAGTCGATCGCGAAACTTTAAGTCGGATAAAATCAGTGTGAACAAAAACTACCATCGGGATTCACCCCAAATCAACAGCCAGGAAGTCCGTTCAACATAAGATCCGACGCCACCTTCTCTGCGGTTGGGCCCTACATCACCAGTAAGTTCAAATTATTTAATATCGGGTGGTCCCCTCCCCCCGTCTTTCCCTGTTGCTTTTTGGGGACCCATTAAAAACTATCAAATTTCTAGTGCGTTCACGCCTTCCATTCGCCCCTCGTCGCCGCCGCCTGACGAGAACCGCCCGCCGATCGCGCAGATTCGCCGCCCGCGCCCGGATTTTTCACCAAACGCAACCGACAGTATCGGAACCGATTCCCCTTATCCAATTCCCTATAGATACTCTATCTCCCCCCCTCGAGATCTCCTATTCCCCGATTTCGAACCCATCCCCTATTCCTCCAGCTAATGTCCCCCCGCATCCACCATCACCCCCTCAGGTCGATACCACCCCTTCGATCCTACACCACGGGTATTCTCCCGCTGCTCCCTTCCCCCATCTTTTCCACGATGCCCAGGAACTCTTAGAGTTCATGGTGCACTCCTCCCCCTCCAACCAAGATTTGGTCGTCGTGAGGATTCCAGGATCCGACGGCCTTTTCTCGGTCCCAGTGGCGTCCCTCGTCCCGCTCGACCTTTTTTCTCTCAACCCATATGATCCTATCCTGTACTAATAGCACCCCTCCCCCCTTTCTTCTTCCCAAATCCACTCACCTCTTTCCCTATTTATACTCTCTTTACTCTCCCCTCATTTTCTCCTCCCTTCCATTCTTCTATCACAACACACACACACACACTCTCGAATACATTTAATTAATTAATAAAAAAAACGAAAATTGTAATATTATACTTACCCGATAAAATTATATTTATATTTTTTTTGTGTAATTCAAAATGTATAACTTCAGTTTTTATTAATTATACTATTATAAAATTTACTTCCCGGTAATTTATTTAAACTAAACCCCTCCTCGTATTCTTAAGCTCGCCCGAGATTGCACTTAGCCTTCTCCCCGGTCACTCGGATTAAGTTCCATGACCGAAAGCCAAGGCATACGGCCGTACTGGCACAGCTGGCGTTAAAGTGCGCCCCTTTCGGCACACTGACCCAGTTTGGGCCCTTTCTCAAAGTACGTCCGACTCGTGTGTCCGTTTAGCGGAGCACGAGCAGAGGATTCCGCTTCGTCCTCCGTTCGACCCCCGGCTCGTTAGGAGCCTCAGGACGAAGCGAAGCGCCTCCCGATTTGCGTCGGTCCTTCCCCACGGCTCCCTTGCGGTCCGGAGCCCGGACACGACCAAATCGGTCTAACAATTCGGTTCCTCGTTACGTTCACCCCCTCAACTCCGCATGCGCGCGGAGTTTGGACGTAACAGAAACAAAAAACACATTGTAGAATAGGCTTTAATATTCTAAAATAAGAATATGCTTAAAATATTAAATAATATTATGCGTCTGTAGGGAAATACGTTTTTCTCATTTTTTATTACTTTTTTTACTTTAATGAACACTATAATAACTAACTTTCTATAATTATAATATTAAACAATAATGAATTTCAACATTGTATTTATAAAACTTACATGGATCTTTGGAAATTATTGTCAAAGTTGTATAAAATTATTGTGTGTGTATTTCATTATATAAAATAAAAAGTAAATAACAAAAATACAAGGACTCTTCGTATATAAAATAAATAACAACAAATGAAGGGCAAAGTAAGAGTCAGCGCATTCCTT